AAAAAAGAGAGAAATGACTCACTCATTCTCTTGTACAAGCTTCGCACGAATATACTTCAAATAAAATTCTATTATGTTATCATTAAGCATCTCGCCGTATGCTAGTACCCGCAAGTCTTCAAAATGTACTGAAATGATATCATTTTCAGTTATGAAAATGTACCTAAAATTCTAAGCGGAATTCGTAAATGTAATTACACTAAAAAAATCAGAATGTGTTGGAAGCGTTAAACAATATTTCGAAAATTGATTGATCTTTGTCAAAGGTCAGCCGTTCAAACAAAAAGTGAAGAAGGGGAAAAAAGGAAACTCAAAAGATTCAAACTGCATACTTGTACAATTGACACTCACATGAAACCGCTCCGCTTTCACCGGGTGGAAACACCAGAAGGACTTCGTCTCGGATATTTTCATCCATACGAGCTTTTTTCTCAGATGGCTCCCCTTTTCCACTGTTACCATTCCCATTTTCGCCGTGTTCATTGCTACTCGACGATGAAGAAGCTTTGGTTCCACAAGTCTGGATAACGACTATCAAATCTATATAGTACACAATAAGCAACCAACCTCGTCGTCATCATCGAGTGCTATCGTTTCAACTTCCTTCCGGCGACTGCTACGTACCGGCCGCTTTAGAGTACCATGAGGAAGCTGAGGTGCAGAAACAACGTTAGTAATCCTTGCAGGACTACTATGATTGACGATCAGCAATTGCGTGCCAGTCTGGATTATTATGGTAATCAAATATATGAAAGTTTCGAAAGACAACAGATTACAAACCTTGGTCTTATCCGGAGTAGCTTGTCTAACCAATGATGACTGATGACTCGATGGTGTAACCTGGTAAACTACTGGAACCCGCGGCGAGCTGGTCTGCATAACCACTTGTTGGGCACGCAGTGGAGTGCCGTGTGCTCCACTGCTCACCACGTATTGCTGTTGACCGTTGGGACTTTGCATTTGCATCACAGTTCCTGGCTGAATTATCTGCCAGTGCGACGCATCCACCGCAGCAACGGGCTGTTGCAGCGATGTTGCCGGGATTGCATCAGAATAGGTTCGCTGTAACAAAAGACATTAGTACTCGTGCATTTGGAACACAACGAAAACCAAAGCATGAAGACATTGCAAGCAGCAAATTAATAGAGTCAAAGCAAAAATGAATCAGTTGAACGAACCACGGCAGTAGAAGGAAAACTTCTCCCTTTTATCGGCATTATATGCGGCACAGTTTGCTTTGCAACACTAACTTGGACAGTTTGATAGTCCTATAACAAAGGATTTTGCGTCTTTGAGTAGCAA